TTAAATTGTAAGAGTTATATGCCACATAGTGCTAAGGTGAACATTCAGTTCGAGCAAGGCTTTCTCCTTGCACAATCAGATTTTCTTCCCTACCTCTTCTCCCCCTAAATTGGTTCTGAGGGTTTGCCCAACCCCCAGAGCAGATTTGGGGAAAGCATGGGATGTGCAGGGAAAGAGGAGGGAACATCCTGTTGTGCTAGTGCCAATCCTTGCAGTAATGCAACTATTTAGTTGTATACGACCTTATGATCATAGCATAGAATTTAATCACTATAATACACTTTGGAATTTTGTATATTAAACTGTTGTCGCAGTGTCTGAAGTTGAACATGTTCCACCTTTGATTCTATTAGCCTGACTTCCGGGCTTCAGGCCCCTGGAAATACAGTTTTCCCTGGACTACTCTCTCTTCCTGGCATCCCTGGACTTGCCCAGAGTGCTACACAGTCTTCCCTGCAGGAACTTCAGCACAGTGCAGCTGCACAGTCTGCATTACTGCAGGTAAATACAGAACATAAAAGGAAGATGTTGGCACTTTATGCATTGGTAACAAAGGACAAGTAAACTGCAAGAACGCCATGCTAAAGGTTCCAATGCCTACAATGATAATCAGTTAAGGAGATGTCTGCAAACGTATATGCATGCTTTATTCTGTTTAGACCAGAACTTGGTACTAGATTATAGGAACTGGGGAAGGAAAATCTGGGCTCATTTTATATTAGCAGAGTGGGGTCAGAAGGGCTCTTGCAAGAATCTTAGTCCCCAGCCTCAGATGTGCCATCCAGATGTCTTTTGAGCCTTTTGTGGTTAACTAGCCACTTCTAACAGGTTTCTTCCATAACCATGAGGATAAAGCATGCTGTTAAAATGAAAGTGGCATTCTACACACATACCCCGATTTTATGACAACTCTGATAATTACAAGCCCTGTTATGCTTGCAGTCATTTATGCCTCAATATGTTTTATCCACCACACAAAACATTCATTTACTTTCATAGCGTTTATATCCTGCTTCATCCCATGCGCAGGACAGCTAATAGCAAAACTATCAACTCAATTAAAATTCTATATAAGAGGCAATGAAATCTATGTTTTCAGGGTTGGGAGAGTCTGAAAATGCAAAATAAGTTTATTCAAAGATGTAGATTGTTTCGTTTGCCAATAAATTAGTTTAAAACAATATTCTATAATCATCCTTATTTAGAAATTCTAAATTTTGCATAAACTAAATAGGTTAAGAACCAAGTATGCAAATATAAACAAACTAAGAGGAGCAATGCCCCTGCTAGTGGTCTTCTTTTAAACATACTGTTTTGTTTTGTTTTGTTTTTCTTTAAAGGCACACACTGCGTCTGCTCTGGAGAACTACGCATCCCAACCAGATGGTTTTACTACATATCCCCCTGCGCCAGGAACACCTGGAGCCCCCTTTTCCTTACAGGCAAGTCTTCCCCAGAGTGGATGGCAATAAAGAGCATCTGTTTCACCTGCAGAGAAACCGCTCCTTGAAGAAAGCAGTGATGGCTTGGCAAAGTCCCTGATGATTGAAGGCTTTTGGGGGCGGGCGGGGAGGAAGGGAGACATGGACTTCAGTGTGTAGCACTCAAGAGGAAGAGAAGAGGATTCAACGTAGCTGTTATTTCCAGGCTACAAGAAACTGGACTGTTTTTTAAAAAACTTTTTATCAGTAATACAAAGCACTGACAATTTTCTATTCCCTTGTAAGTAGATGAGGTTGAGAGCCTTTGGACACTCCTAGGAACATTTAAAAATCCAGATATTACTGATCCTTCTTTTAAACTAATAATTTGCTGTGGTATCCGTGTCACACGTTCTCCTCAGGATTTATTCTCTGCAATGCATGTTGTATGTATCTTTGATAAAAAGGAAATGTAGATCAGGCTCCCTCTTCGCACATGCTCAGACAATACGCTCTTCAAGTATTAGATCTTGTGTGTCTGCGAAACACCATTCATTGTCATCCTCTGATCCCCTGCCTTTTGTATTATTTTTACTGCCTTTCCCATCCAGATCCGCTCAGATAATCGTCACTGGAAGTAGTAATATTTATCAACTTGAGCTTATTCTTTACACCTGCATGCATCCTACCATCTATCAGTATTTCTTCACTTTTCTAGGATGCCAGGAACACTGCTATATATAGATATATTGGGTTTTTTAAAAAAAACTTTATGCAAGACCAGATTTGAGAGTACAATTCTTTTAGGTCATGTAAGAGATCATGGTTTGCATTTTGTAATTAACTTGTATTTTGTGTCCCATTCATGGTAATGGCTCTAATACATCAATTATGTATCAAATGTTGCCTAAAATGTCGAAGACCTGCTGATTTGTGAACCAGGTTTCCTTTTTCCTTTCCTTTTTTTTGGCCGGGGGGTGGGGGTGGGGTGGGGGGAGTAAGAAGAGAACTAGCTTATAATGCTGTACTGTGGATAAGAATGAATTCTGTGGTTAAATTCTGAAAATGTAAATCTATGAAACATATACACAAAATAAGAATTGTACAAATGAATGAAACTGGGTTTTGCTTCCCCCAATTACACTCCAGGTTACAGATACCAATATAAGATGAAAAGTTTAAAGAATTTCCATCTCTAGCTAGGAATTTATGCAACACAAAATAGGCTCTTGCTATATTAATGAAGTGCTCTATACTGTTTAGCATCTATAGCGATGAGTAGAAAAAGCCACAATATTATATCTTTTTAAGAAAGTATTGATCATGTTCTAGAACTACAGTAGAGATGATACTTGATTTTGTGTTTTTAATGTGAACTCTAGGTAAGAATATCTTGCTGTGCATAGCTTAACATCCCTTTTTTCTAAAGATGGGAGTCTACTGGAAGGTAGAGCCTTTCCACAAATGAACAGGCATGAAGAACACTAATGTGTGTGTGTATATATATCTGTATTTTTATAAACTTTTTTAATAATAAAATGTGTAGCAATGGTACACAAGTTTCTAAAGTAGACCTGAATAAAAAGAAATCTTTACAAAACTTATGTCTTACATAAACACATCCATGTGAGGTGATTTACCTAACTTAAGGCAAATGGTGTGTACTGTATATAGCTTTTGAGGCAGGAGGGTCCCTGTAAAACACAGAAATTCATTGGAGAGTATTAAAAAGAGAGGAGCTTGAAGAGGTGAGCTTCTGATTACATTGTGGAGGTAAGTGCCCAGACTGGATTGAATGAAGTGGAATTTTATGGCCTGTGTGGAGCAGCTACAGCTGAGATTTTAACAATCTCCAACAGCTGAAATATTTCAGGATACAAAATATTACACATTTTGAAGGAGAGAGATACAAATCTCCCAAGCTTTTCTTTTAATTGTAGCATATGTAACAAGCCATTTTCTGGGTGGTGTAGAACTACCCTTACACTCATGACGTCCATTTTAAGAGATGTAAGAAGGTTCATTCTTATGATCATGGTTACCAGAAGAGTACACTGGACTACACTGTAGAGAGAAATAATGCTGCTTTTAAACAGCAGAGAAAGTTAGAATTAAGGACTACAAAACAACTCTAGATGGGTAATGCATTTCTAGAATACCCAGGAATCGTGAATTTAGAATGCACGATTTCCCTGGTGCCTTAGCCTCCCAAGACAACATATGGGCAACATTTTGTTGCCCATGTGGACAAATGAGCAGGTTAGAAGCCACATAGCCATCCTCTGTCATTCTACCCCCAGTTCCTTTCTTTGCCTCTCCAAGAAAATGAGGGTTTCTTTCCATTAATTCAAAGTCTATTTGTGGAATCGCTGTTATAACCTCAGCTGAGTCCTTAGTGGGAAGGGTGGGTAATACATATAATAATCTTGTATTGGGTTTTTTTCTATTGTGGGCTTATCTTGCTAGTTTTATTAGCAGTATTTATCTCCCAATTGGGATGCGGGTGGCGCTGTGGGTTAAACCACAGAACCTAGGACTTGTCGATCAGAACAGCGGTTCAAATCCCCGCAACTGGGTGAGCTCCCGTTGCTTGGTCCCTGCTCCTGCCAACCTAGCAGTTCAAAAGCACATCCAAGTGCAAGTAGTTAAAAGGTACGGCTCTGGCAGAAAGGTAAACGGCATTTCCGTGTGCTGCTCTGGTTCGCCAGAAGCGGCTTAGTCATGCTGGCTACATGACCCGGAACCTGTACGCCGGCTCCTTTGGCCAAGAAAGTGAGATGAGTGCCGCAAGCCCAGAGTTGGTCACGACTGGACCCCTAATGGTCAGGGGTCCCTTTACCTTTACCTTTTTATCTCCCAATTAAGCAAATAAAATCTCAGGTCCATGGTCAATGTTCCGTAGCGTTTAAATCCCACATGTTGACATGAAAAATAGTGACTGCAAGCTATCACTGCTGTCTTCTGCTTGACATCTGTTGCCTTGAATGCAAGGTTTCTGTAGAGAATTTTAAGCAAAAATTGTGTGCTCTTGTTTCTATCAAGTGCATCCTATGCTTGAATAAAGGGAAAGCTCCGTCGTTTATTTTGTCTTTCATTTTGGTGGGGGGCTCAGGACAAACCATAAGACCTGCACCAGCAAGTTAGTACTTCCAGGAGGTTGGGGAATAGAGTGACCATCATTGCTCCCCGACATTTCTTTTCTCTTGCTGCCAGCCTCCTCTGGAGTAAGGCTATGGGAGCCAGGCTGTATGTCATCTGGCTTCCCTCTGAACTGTATTTAAGCCAGGCTCCTTGGAGTGCAGGAAGACCAGAACCAGAAACTTTATTGTCAGTTAACTCTTGTTTTCCTTTGTATTTAAATACTTAAACCTAGGGCTATTTTGTTTCAATGTTGACTTTATTCTGTTTGCTAATTTGTTTCTTTTAATTTACTGGTAATGTTTTTGAACGTTTGCTCTTTGTGGAACGCGGCCACTCAATCCCTGCGCATGCGCCTCTGCCCCTGCCCACTGAACTCTCGAAGCAGCGGTTTGCGCGTGCGCGCTAGGCCCGCTTCTCGGTCGTCGCGAGCGTCGCTGTTTGCCGCGCCTGCGCTTTGCGGGCTCTGGCGAAAGAGGGCTCCCGGAGGCTGAGAGATGGAGTCGGCGGCGGAGGAGTTGATGCCGCGGCTCCTGCCTGTGCAGGACTGCGACCTCTCGGAGGACTTCGACCCCACCGTGCCCCCCAGAACACCCCAGGAATATTTAAAGCGGGTCCAGTAAGTGGGCGGCGGCCTGGCCGGGTGTCTGTGGGCGCCCCCTTGGTAGGTCGGGGTGGGGAGCGGGGCTGCTCCGGGGGGCAGAGGGAGCGGGCTGGGATCGCCTGCCAGCCCCTTCGGGGGAACAGAGAGGCCAGTAATGTTTCTCAGGTGGACCCTCATGCACACCTGGGCACGGCTGCTGCTGCTGCTGCTTCCAGCGTGCTTGCAGTTTGCATAGAGCTGACCGGGGCAAGTGCTTCTTTTGATGGCCAGATGTGTGTGCAGTTCTGTCGGGATCGGGTCATTTACTTCCCAGAGGCTGGCTGTAAGCCACTATTTTTATTTTTTAGCACATTTCTTTTTCCTTTTCTTTCTTCCGCATCCCATCTTATGAAACAAAACAGTTTTGTCGTCTTAAATTTTGAAGTACAGGAACACATCGTGACAGCCGCCATAGCCACGTGCACAAAGAGTCCAAAAATTCAAGCAGATTTTTGATATATACACACACACACCAAAGAGTATCAGTACATACTGCTATACCCAGTTGGTTAGGATCAGCTGACAGGGGCAGACTATGGAGATGACAACAGGCGATGTTCACATGTTGGAATTTGGGGAGATCAGTGCTCACTTTCCTGATCAGCTGTGTGACATGACTGCAGTGTTGTTACCTGGGAGTAAGCTCTGTTGAAAGCACTGGGCCTTAGTTCTGACTGCAAAGATTTAACTTGTAAAACACATTGAGCGTTAACCAAAAAATGGTCAGCCAACAAGAAGAAATTGAAAGAATACATAGCCAAATATTGTAACATAAGACAAAAACACAACACTTATTTTTTTAAATAGAAATGCAGTTTTCAGCTGTAGTTTGTGAAGCAAAAACCTCGTTTTACATGGTAAATTTACAGGGAAATCAGAAGGCACTCCAAATATTAGACGCCATTTTTGTTTTGTAGGATTGAAGCTGCAAAATGCCCTGATGTTGTTGTGGCCCAGATAGACCCCAAGAAATTGAAAAAGAAGCAGACTGCGAATATTTCAGTAAGTTTTGAAGAACTGTATCCATAAACTTCTTGAGATAAAATAATAAAGTTGGAAGCACTTGAGTCTGATTGTTCTCTTGTTTTAAGAATGTGCCATGCCATTGCAGTTTCAAGGTTTGTTTTGCAAAAGTAGACACCATCCACGTAAACTGCCAAGGCTTTTGAGGGTTTTCCAGTCACAAAATTGAACACCTTGCACCAGCCATGTGGCTGGTGTTCTTGCAGAACAGGACTTGAAATTGCAACAACATGGTCCTACCTTAAAATGTAACTATGCTAAATTCTTAACAAAGCCATATTCATTCTTTCCTTTGTTAGCTTTCAGGATGCCAACCTGCCCCTGAAGGGTATTCTCCAACTCTGAAATGGCAACAGCAACAAGTGGCACACTTTTCAGCCATTCGCCAGGTAAGTAATGATTACACACACCAAGCCAGTGATCCAATATGTTGTTTTTCCTGGTATATTCTAACACACTGCCTGAATCTTCTTGTCAGCCTGAGAGAACTCCCAAAGATTTGCATTCTGAAGAATTGGCCTCCCAATATTAAACATGCTCTCAGATCAACTAACTTTCAAGAGTTTTTTTTTAAATAGAAAGGATCACATTGTGTTGATTTGTATAAAGTTATAGTCCTTATCAAAAACAACAACAAAATTCAGCCTGCCACTCATCTCACTATTTTTCCTTTTGAAATAAGATTTAATTCTGTTGAGGTCTTTTTAACTGATGAATGCTGTAGTCATTAGATTTTAATTATAACTCTTTCAGAGTGTGAACAAGCACAGAAATCATTGGAAGGCGCAACATTTGGACAGTAATGTAGCAATCGTAAGTTGAATATAACATATTAACTGTGTTGTCAAACTGTTTGTTCCATAATACTCCAACCCAGCCCCTTATGAATGCCTTTTTAAAATTTTTGTTCTTGGGTCACATTATGATTCCAAGTGTTGTTGTTGTGGTAACTGTGTTACAAAGTGAAAATACAGGATTGACTTTTTTGAGGGTAGAATTTTCTCTAACCTAATGGGAAAAAAACACCCCACAACATTTAAATAATAAAATAATTTGCCTTTTTGCATTCTTTAGCCCAGAGTGGAGGATGAAGAAGGCTGGAAAAGGTTTTGTCTAGGCGAAAAGTCCTATTTAGACACAGCTGTTGAAGTATCCAGAGATGAAGATCAAGGAATTGATTATGTACAAGTGCGTATTAAGTTTGGACAAAAGTGCTGAATATTTATTGTACATCCTTGTTCAGAGTTCCTAGGCATGTTTTTATGTGCATATGGCACTCCCATTAAATAAAGATGTTTTGTTTTGTTTTTTAAATTGGGTGATAACCCACTTTGACTGTCCACCACAGAGATACCTTCCACTGATACAATGTGACTTCTCCTTCCTCTCCTCCTTTGTACAGCCTTGTCCTGCACCTACAAAATCTGCTCTGGGGTTTTGGGGACCCTCTGGAACAGATTTGGAGAGGAGGCACAAATGAAGGGGGTGTCCTGCCCATTGGCAGCAAAGTGCTGCTGTTTGTGTAGTAAACTAATTCTGATTTCCATCAAATACATCTGTATCCTACAAAAATCCTATATATTCTAATGGAGTTTTTTTCTCTTCTAGATTGGCTTTCCTCCATTGCTGAGTATTGTTAGCAGAATGAATCAGGTAATTCTATTTCTTTCACTCTACAAATATGGCTGAAACCAGTGAATTCTTTAGATTTGTACTGTCCACTTACTCATAGACATCCTACCATCCTACATATTGCTTGTGGAAAGTTGCATCCAGCTCTGAACTACAGTTTACTAGTTATGATTTAACAAAAATTTGTAGGAAAGTTTGTAGGAATATTTGTCACAGACAGCAACCTGATTTTCAAATTGGATATGCCAGTGAAATATAAATGTTTATGATAAGACTGTTCAGCAGGGATGGGGAATTGGATCTACACTAGAGGGCTAGATCCAGAAGTGGCTAGCCTTCTGCAGGACACTTTGATAGATGATGGGGCCACTCACTCACCTGTCAAGTCACTTGATGTCATATGATATCAGGTGGTTGAAAGTTTAAGCCGTGGCTGCAAACAAGACACTTCCTTTGCAGACCAAACTTGAGTTCTGCCCTTTTTAAATTTGGCACCTTTTTCAGTGCCTCTGCAGGGTGGTGGGAGAAAGCACCTTATTTCAAATTCAAGAAGCACCTATTTTGGCTGCAGAAGAAGAATGCCAACCTCTGAAGGCTGGTGGGCCTAATGAGGCCTGTGGGCTAGACACAGGGTTTTCCAAACTTTGGTTTCCAGCTCTTTTTTGGACTACAGTTTCCATCATCCTTGACCACTGGTCCTGCTAGCTAGGGATGATGGGAGTTGTAGTCCAAAAACAGCTGGAGACCCAAGTTTGGGAAACCCTGGGCTAGAGGTTATTTCATAGCAGCAGACGTTACGAACATGTGTTGTCACTGCAGGGTGGCTTTGCACGTGTATTCAAAACAGGTTTATTGTGGTCCATTTAGCCATTTGCTTCCTTGATTATCCTTAGCATTTGTGTAAGTCAGTTAGGAACCTGCGGCTCTCCATGCTGGCTGGTGCTTATGGGAGCTGGAATCCACCCACAACTTGGGAGGCCCACAGATTCCCTGCACGTGGTATAAAATATCTAATATAGCTGTTACATCTTTTCTAATAACGCAAGGGCTATATGGAAACACTAGCTGCAGAAAACCCTTCTTCATAACTGCTTCTCTTGTTCTTAAAAGGCAACAGTAACCAGTGTCTTGGAGTACCTGACAAACTGGCTTGCAGAGAAGGAATTTACTCCAGAACTGGTAACTTGCACTTTCTTTCTTTCTTTCTTTTCTTTTTCTTTTTTTCTTTTTTTTTGGGGGGGGGGGAGTCAAATAAGGCAATCTGGGAAGTTAGGCTAAAGAAAAATAGTACAGTCGTACCTTGGAAGTCTAACGGAATCCGTTCCAGAAGTCCGTCCGACTTCCAAAACGTTCGGAAACCAAAACGTGGCTTCTGATTGGCTGCAGGAAGCTCCTGAAAGCTAAATTTGGCTTGAGAAAACCTCATGTATCTATTTTATGGTGACTGGGTTGCTATGGATCTTTCACAGTGGTAATCCTTAGATCAAGGTGTATTTTGATAAAACAAGGCAATAACTATTTTACTTAAGTGTTAAATTCTTGTTGCAACTTTTGTTGAATTTCTCTAGGGCAGATGGCTTTATGCGCTATTGGCCTGTCTTGAAAAACCATTGTTGCCAGAGGCTCACTCCCTCATTCGGCAGTTGGCCAGACGATGCTCTGAAGTGAGAGTCATGGAAGTAAGCTGAATCAACAAATTATTGTGGCAGAAAAGTAATAGTGGAATTTATATATGTTGATTGCTCATAGTTTCCTTTTACTGTAATCATCTGGGTTGTATGAAATGTGTGTTTTTTACGTTTTGTTTCTTTATATATTCTGAAAATGACAATTCAAAGTATGGCAGAAAAGAGAATTTGGGGTACTAGGTGGTACAGTGAGTGTTCAAAATGCTGACAGTTCTTAATTAATTTAGTGAATGCCTGAATTTAGTGAATCACCTGTTTTCAGAAGCATAACAGCAAATGCTGATAACATAAGAAATTACGGTCACATTCAGTGCAGTGTGTTTTGAGTCACAAATCTGTTTGGGATTGTTGACATTTGCTGTAACATACTACATTAACTTCATTTTTCTTCTGTTGCAGGAAAACAAGAATGATGAAAAAGTGTCTGCTCTGAACTTGTTAATTTGTTTAGTTGGCAGGTATGGCATAGTTGCATAACTATTAAGAGCAGGTTCAAAGCTGCAAGCCACTGGGCCAGATTTGCAGCCCTAAAGGAGAAAGAGCTGAATTGTTATTCTGTATAAGGCTATTTAAGGATTGTAAGCTTGAGTCACTCGATGGTCTGACAGAAGCTTTGGATTTTTAAGTCCTGTAGTTTTGTGGCCTTCTAGGCTGTTTCAGTTTCTTTATGCAGATTTAGGGGGGCAAAGTTCAGCCATCACTAGCCCTATAATCCAGCGTGATGAGGCTTCTGGGTGGCTTATAATATGCCCTGACCACAAGAACCACATACTGTTTTTCATAAAGGCTATAATTTGTCTGCTCCTCGTTTCCCCCTCCCTCTCGTCACTTCTCCTCAGAATTGCTTGAGGATGCCTCCTTATTCATCCGGGATCAATAGGTTCTGATTCCTTATCAAAAGTGCATTGCAAAGTAGGGGCAGAGGGAATGAATATCACAACAGAATTAAATAACTCTCACCTTTTATAGGATTCTTTCAAGTTGTTTTAGCTTGAAGCAGTTTATTCACTACCAAGGCAAAACCTGTTTGGAACCTCCTTGTTGTTATGAATCAGAGCTAAGGAACCTTGTTGAGACCCACATTCCCTTGGAGGTAATCTTTTGTGGGGCTGCATGCCAGCAGGGGCTACAAATGCACAGGATTATTAACCTTAAGAAAAGCTGAGCCACCTACCACCCCGGCCTCTGTTCTTGAAGAAACAACTGAAATTGGTATAGTTTTTGCATTCATTTAGTACATCTGTGTTCAGTTGAAGGAGTCTGAGATACCCAAGTGTATGTGTTGTGTTTCTTTGACATTTTAAGTTTTTGTCTAGGCTTTCCTTAGCGACTTGTATAACTTTTATGGATTCTTTCCCCCAATAGGTATTTTGACCAGCATGATCTGGCTGATGAAGCATCCTGACAAGTCTGGAAAGCATAAAAGCATTGGATGCCATTGTTTCTAAGGCACTATGCAAGCCAGTGTTATTAGCTAGCTCCTCTGTGACAAGTGTGACGAACAGCAGAGATATCCCATCTTCCGGTGTGATCTCCCTGAGTAGAGGGGGAATTCTGTAGAAAATGAATAGTTGGAATGTCTTTTTAGCAAGTGTGGCTGGAAAACTCAGCTTGGAAAAGGTCACCAACACAGTGCCTAAAACACTTTCTGAAGGACTCATTTGCCTGTAGCTAGTGTGTGATTGCAGTTCATATACCAAACTCCTCCTCATTGAAGCTACACCACGGAACAAGACTGATTCTGTCATTGAAAACCCTGCAGGACTGAATCTGGCTACTGTAAAGTTTTTATAATACTATGTTTTTATAAATAAAGTTATTCAAAAGAGTTTTAATTTGTGAGTGTATTGGTATTGGCTCTTTGCAGTGCTTTAGGAGCCAGTGTGGTGTAGTGGTTAAGAGCGGTGGACTCGTAATCTGGTGAACCGGGTCCACGTCTCCGCTCCTCCATGTGCAGCTGCTGGGTGACCTTGGGCTTGTCACACTTCTCTGAAGTCTCTCAGCCCCACTCACCTCACAGAGTGTTTGTTGTGGGGGAGGAAGGGAAAGGAGAATGTTAGCCGCTTTGAGACTCCTTAGGGTAGTGATAAAGCAGGATATCAAATCCAAACTCTTCATCATCATCTTAAAATAGTCAAATTTAGTTCATAAAATGGATGTAGCAGCTTAGTAGATGCAAGTTAACTGACATTGATCATTCCCCAACACTGCTTCCCACAAGCAGAATCCCCCTTCTATACTAGGAATAGTATAAAAAAAAATATTCTATGCCGAGATTTAGCTTAGATATATTCTACTTTTATTTTCTTTTTCCAAACTTGATGTGTGCCAGTCACTGCCTATGAAGTCAGAGGCTGAGCAAGATTTTATTTGGTGGAAAGTTCATTAGACATTTGCCTTCCTCTTCATACCTAGCTGTTGTTATTCATGCCTTTCTATCCTTGAAAGCAATTACTACAACTCATTCAGAAGTGCTTCAAGACCTTTCCTCATACAGCTAACACACAGATCAGCAGTAACCAACATGGTGCCACATATTTCACTTAGCACAAGACTGAAGTACAGTAATGTGCTCTACTTGGGCATGCCTTTGAAAGCATCTGGAAATTCAGCTTGTGCAAAATGTTGCAGGGAGAGTGCTGAGCAGGGCTGGGCCTTGAGAACATACATTTCCAGGCTGAATTCCAAGTGCTGATCACCACCTTTAAAGCCATAAGAGGAGTATGGAACCCTTTCAATATAATCCATTCCCACCTGGACAACTTTTGTAGGTCACATGAGGTCATGGGGGGCGGCTCCCTTTGCATGTTTCAACGCACCTTTAATCCAAGATACACTTGGGGCAACATGAGAGAGGCCAGGATCTGGACTTAAACCCTTTTTGTTTAGGTAGCCATTTAAATTCGCTTAGCTAATTATTCTTGGTTTTGGCCTGTTCACTTACGTATTTTGATCATGTTATTTGTTTGTTTGGTGAGCCAACTTGGAAAGGTCGGATCTAGAACTTTCAATACCTTAAATTTATTCCAACCAACAAGTATAGCATATATAATATATGTATGTGTTTGCAGGCACACAATGAAGTCAGAACCATAGAATTCTAGAGCTGGTAGGGAGCCTGAAGACCATCTTCTGGTTCAACCCCGTTCCATAAAACAATATTTCTTTAATATCTCAAAAGCTGTGAAGGGGGAAGCCGGTTAAATGAGGACTGAGGTATTTCAGTCATTTAATCATGAGTTCACCCATTAAGCTATTAATTTAAAATTGCAGATGGGGAAAAATGTTTTGATCATGCAAAGGGTTGGATTCAGAGTTTCAGACTTCAGGTAGTCATGCTTAGTCTTGATGGGACTTGTTAGGCATGGCTAACTTGTCCCAATGAATCTGATGGGACTAAACCATGACTAATTTTGTCTGGTTGCAATTTTTGCTTTTAGTTTAGGCCTGTTTTAACATGTGCCTTTATCGTAAAGGCAGTCCCTCCTATAAAAATATAAAAGAACGCCTTTCAAAGACTGGCCTCGTCATCTGCAGTTTTTAGAAGTATTTGCATTAAAAACAAATTTAAAAGTGTCATCTAATTAATCATTCTAATTAATCAATTAGACATTATAACCCCAGTTCAGAGAATAGCTGAGTGCCCCATTATATATGCACAGATCTTGTCAAACCCATCTCTAGATCAACGCTTGGAACAAATTTTGCATTGTTATATCCAAGGACGGCAAAACTAACCAGATATTAGAGCTTGAAATTTAATCAAGGTTTCCATTCCATCTTTACAAACTTGTAAGCTTCATCTTCCTTGAAACACACAGTAACTTAGCGACTACCAAAAAAGAAAAGAAAAGCAAGATATACAGCAGACACTGGCTATTGGTCATACTTGAAAATTTGTGTTTTAAACTATATGGCATTTTATACAATATAGGACAGCTTCAATAAACTATGGATATAAATAAAATATACATTTTATTTGTCATTTTACAAGGCAGGAAGCTGGTCCTGTACATGTGCTATATCTTCTGTATCATCACCTGAAATTTGCCTGTAAAGAAAGAAAGTTATTATAACATCCATCTTACCAAGGAGAAACAACTCTTCATGTAGTTAAAAGCGGTATGGGTACATGTACTTTATTATAGCTTCCAATAACAGTAAGTCAAGGGTGTGGAACCTCTGGTCCACAAGACAAATTAAGCATTGGGGGGGGGGTCCCAATTGTGTGCTCCCAATTGTTCTTTGAGGGACATGGGTGGCGCTGTGGGTAAAAGCCTCAGCGCCTAGGGCTTGCCGATCGAAAGGTCGGCGGTTCGAATCCCCGTGGCGGGGTGCGCTCCCGTTGCTCGCTCCCAGCGCCTGCCAACCTAGCAGTTCGAAAGCACCCCCGGGTGCAAGTAGATAAATAGGGACCGCTTACTGGCGGGAAGGTAAACGGCGTTTCCGTGTGCTGCGCTGGCTCGCCAGATGCAGCTTTGTCACGCTGGCCACGTGACCCGGAAGTGTCTCCAGACAGCGCTGGCCCCCGGCCTCTTGAGTGAGATGGGTGCACAACCCTAGAGTCTGTCAAGACTGGCCCATACGGGCAGGGGTACCTTTACCTTTTTAATTGTTCTTTGACAAGGAGGCTTCCTGTCAGCACCAATGCAGCCAATCCCAAAACAGAGCTAGCTGTAAGTGCAGAACAGCTGAGCAGTACTGTCAAGGAAATACTTCCTTCACCTGTATGGTTTGACTTCAAACCACGCAGGCAAAGCAAAATGCTCCATCTGATGTCATGGTGAAATCAGGTGACTAGGTGGGTAACCATCTGCCAACCTGTCGGAAGTTAACCGTAGGTTTGTGGCGAAAATCGAGATTCAGCCCACTGGCTGGATCCAGTTCCCTACCCTGATTGTTAGCTAGATTTAACAAAAATCTCTCCAACTTTCTGTATTAGGAGGTAGTTTTGACATATTTTTTAAAACCAATTACCGTTTACCACTGCAATCAGGTTTCTACTCAGATGTCCTATTCAGTTCTGTAAGCCTTAATCCCACTTAAGTAGGTACAGAAATGAAATCCATGTTTCACCCTGGGTCTCCGTTTGAGTAGCTAGTTACAAGTTACTACCACCATTTATTTCAGACATGTTTGAAGATACAACGCCAAAATCCTGTGCATGTTTTCTCAGAAGTAAATCCCACTGTGTTCGATGGGGTTTGCTCCCCTGTAAGTGGATTTAGAATTACAGTCTTACAGAGAAATCCTACAGAACTGCCACTTCCTAAAGTCTTGCTGGGCTCATGCTGGCCAGGGTGGCTTTTTGCCTTTCCTCCATTTTGTTTCTTCAAAAAAATCAACGTGAGGTAAATAACTCCACCATAATTTGGGTAATATTTCTCCCTTGTTGGAAGAATGAGATGGCTTGGGATCTGATGGATCCAAGGCCTCTTCTAGCATGCCTCTCTTCAGACACTCTTGTATTTCCAGAACTGCAGCCACACTCGGCTTGGCTTGACACACAGAGGAAAAAACCAAGCAATTTAGTGTGACATCTGTGTGTTAGGGCTTGAAAAGGCCCATGAATCTAGAGCAAAGTCTGTATTCAGTTAGGCATGCAGGTCTCTAGCTAGAAATTCGTAAGAAATCCACCACCCAACACATTTCCCCCTACTTAAGTCCCCTATAACGGAACACAGGTGGCCCTGTGGGTTAAACCACAGAGCCTAGGACTTGCCGATCAAAAGGTCAGCGGTTCGAATCCCCACGACGGGGTGAGCTCCCGTTGCTCAGTCCCTGCTCCTGCCAACCTAGCAGTTTGAAAGCACGTCAAAGTGCAAGTAAAAAATAGGTACCGCTCCGGCGGGAAGGTAAACGGCGTTTCCGTGCGCTGCTCTGGTTCGCCAGAAGCGGCTTAGTCATGCTGGCCACAAGGGAGCTGTATGCCGGCTCCCTTGGCCAATAAAGCGAGATGAGTGCCGCAACCCCAGAGTCGGCTACAACTGGACCTAATGGTCAGGGGTCCCTTTACCTTTAATCCCCTATACATTTTTGCAACCTATACCCAAGGCTGGCTTTATCATTAGGCAGATGCTGGTGGGCAGGGGGCAACAGTGAGGTGTGGAAGGCAGGGTTTGTGTTTGCCCTGTGTCCTACCCTCCCTATTCGATACTAGGCTGCTGCTCACAGATGCAGCAGGGGGGGAAACAGTACCAGCTGCATTCCTGGAATGAATTGGGAGCGATGGGAAGTACTATCATGTCCTCCACCTCAGACTGCAAAATTATCATTGGCCAAGCTTGGCTACAAGAAGCTATTTTCAGAGCAACCAACTCATATTTGCGAAAATAGGTCATTTGTCTCACCAACTTTATATTAAGTGGAATAGACAATTGGCACACATACTTCGCCAAGAAGAGTACTTACATGCAGGCATTGTTGAAACCTCGGCTGTCACGATGCTCTTTATTCCCAAGTTTGATAAAGCGCCTCTAATTAACCCACAAGTAAATGCCAAGTACTGTGGGGGGAAAGACCCATACATTAAGTCAAACAAAACGACATTCTGATAATTTATATAATTCTCACATTACACTGTTGAAAGTTCTTTAAACTTGTGCCGAGCAATTTAATGTTCAACGCTGTTTTCAAAGAGGAGGCCTCTTTATGCAATACAATCATCTATTCTGGCGGTTATAATAACTTAATAATTATTTATTATTTATTATTATTTATACCCTGCCCATCTGGCTGGGTTTCCCCAGAACATGGGTAACTGTGGCCAGTCTCTTCGTCTAGGAAGGGGTGCAACTGGTGCGCCAGTTGTAGCTGGTAGAAAGGGCAAAATGTCATGGAGGCATATGAAGGCAACCCTGTATCAGGAAATATCTAATGTTTTACAATATTTTTGTGTGCTGTCAGCCACCCAGAGTGGCTGGGGAAACCCAACCAGATGGCTGGGGTATAAATAACAAAAAATAATTAATTAATTATTGGCACTTGGTTCTCCCTTCAGTGGAAAAAAAAAAAAAGGATCAACCCTCCAAGGTATGAATTTCATTATTTAAGGAGAGTGTTAACCATGTCGAGAGCAGCTTGAAGACACTACCATGCAGGAAGTGGGGAAAGAGGGCCCACAGTAATATGTGATCTATCTATCTATCTATCTATCTCGAGGATACTTCTTTAATACTAGCATGTGCACATGTGGATCTGACAGCTAGAATGCAATCAACTGATAGAATACTGCTATAAAAGAGTTTGCTTCCCCTCCAACGTTTATCTGTCAAACTTGCAAAAATTCATATTAACACAGAAGAAATATTAACACATATTAACACAGAATAAATATATGACAATATAAAGTACAACTGTGAACATCAAGTGCATGGAGAAGATAACACAATTGCAAGACCACTCCTGCTGCTCTCCCCTGCCCCATACATGTAAGGAATATACAGTCATACCTCGGGATAAATATGCTTCAGGATAAGTATTTTCGGGTTGCGCTCTGCAGCGACTCGGAAGTAATGGAGCACATTAATTCCAGGTTTCGCCGCTCACGCATGCACAGACGGTCAAAATGACGTCACATGCATGCGCTGAAGCAGCGAAACATGACCCGCGCACGCGTGTCTTACATTCTATTCAGGATGCGAACGGGGCTCCGGAACGGATCCCGTTCCCATCCCGAGGTACCACTGTATTGCAACTCCATGAAGAAATTTGGTTTTGAAGGTGCTCTTATGAACTACGTAAGATATAGTTAATTATACAAGCCTTAGGAGCGTGCTCCAAATACTGTTTTCCAGCAGACATCTGAGTCAGGAGACGGAACTTGTTATCCTGTAGTACATAGATGCCCTGCAAAAAATGAATAACAGTTATAGTTCTATCCTGCCTTTTCCTTGGCTATTCATGCAAGAATCATTTATTAATGTTGTAATAGGTAATATACATGGAAAAAACTAGTTACAGAGTACACACAAACACATGCAGTATACTTTATTTTCCTACCAAATGCAGTCTGGTCAATTAAACTGCAGTCATCCCAACCAGTCACTTTGAAAGAAAGGCTAGGTTAATGGCAGACATCTTTCTCCCCAGGAAGTTAACTTCTGGGCAAATATGGTTACTAGCTGGATTGTTTTATTATGTATGCATGTTAATTATTCATTCATCCTTTCAAATCCTGCCTTTCAAGATAAAATCTTCCTAACACAGTGTACAATATTAACAAGAAGAAAAACAGCAAAAACAAAACTGAAGGAACACCATAGAATAATCTGTATTATTTAGCTACACACGCTACCCTTATGGAATTCTCTTTACAGCACAAGGTGGCTGGCATATGATCCTAACAAAATTATTCTGAAATAAGAACCTAATTAGAATCAGAAAAAAATGTGATGCATCCCTTGCTTATTTTAAACTGCAAGTGGAAAAATACTATTTGAATATTCTCACATATGAAAATACCCTGCAGAAAGAAAACTAGAGTGTCAATAAGGGTTGTTCACCTTTTTACTGCTTTCTACATACGAAGACCTTATTTATAATCATACAGCCCCATCTGTAGTACAGTCCAAGCAAATGCTTCTTTGTGCAATTGTGCTGACAGAGCTGAGCTATACCAGATCCCAATTGTTTTAATTCCAGACAGAATCCAAATTGATATTAACATATTTGAATGTCAATAATGTACAATTATGTCTAATTTCTTCTCCGCCCACTTGGCACTGATATGCAACATGACTGACAACTCTACAAGTTCAGTTTCTTACAATACCTGATGGTTGGTCCTGAGGTTATCAATTTGCTTTTTGAATACAGTAGTCCAAAAATCTTTGCAGATAAACTTCATTATGTCCAGTTCATCTTTGAATCTGGCAGTATCTTTTGTAAACCTAAGAGAAAGCAATTAAAAGTAGTGGCATTTAATTAGCTGCATGCACGCGAGAACCGGCTCTGCCCCTGCGGAGCTGGTTATGTGGAGACTGTATCACACGTTCTCTTGTCCTGTTCCCTGTATAAAGATCTCAGGGATGAGACCATCACGCCGCTACTATCTGCCATCCCGGGCCGCTCTTGTGAAGCTAAGTTGTTCTCACTCCTAGCCGACCAGAGCAGCTCGACAACAGAGAAGGTTGCCAGGTTTGTCGAGAGAGCAATGAGACTGAGAGCTGCTGTCTGAATGACATCAGTGTCGTCACTTGGATTCCTTGCCTAGGATCTTATTATTATTATCATTACCTCTGCCAAGTTTTAAGTACTGAGATTATTTTATGATAACTATTTCCATAATGTATTTTTGTTTCTGTCTGTCCTTCAATGCAATGGCCTGTTGGCTATGCAAATAAAGCCTATTCTATTCTAGCTGCATGCACGTGATGCGGTGAGGGGGCATAAGTCATTAGCAGAATAAAAGGTGCCAGTTTCAGTCCCTGGCATCTGCAGTTTAAAGAACAGATTAAGTAAAAAATGATGAGAATGACCCTGAGGCCCCAAAAAGTCACTGCCAGTCTGCGTACACAACACTTGACTAGAGGGACAAGTTATCTGACCCGACATAAGGCAGATTTCTAGTTTCTAATTATGCCAATGATTTGTTCCATTTATGAGCTAGCTTCCCACAAAAATTTCAAAGTGACTTCCAAAAATTAAAAACCCAACACCCAATGTAAGTTAAAAACATAAACAATATAGACAAAAAGGTGGTCAATCCATAAAACAAATTCCTCCACCCCACCACGACTTGAAACTACAACTACAAATAATTATTACAAATCTTGGCACAAGAAAGGTCTTCCACAAGCAGGGGAAAAAAATCCACTTAGTACAAGGCAGCGCCACTGAATTCCCTTGATTTTCCCATCACATTGCAGCCACTAAAGTTTGTGTGGGGCATCTTTAAAAGCAACATCCCTTAGGGAATATCTGCATCTTATGATATATACTGAATTTACACATGATATAAGGACATCAGGAAACCTGCTGGAATATTTGCAACTCTGCAGGAAAATAATGGGTCAAGAGAGAAGCTAAACATGCCACTCACCTTTCTATTAATCCCTGTCCTACTCGAAAACCCATATTTTCCAGTTTTGAGATGCATCGTCCATTTTCCTGTAAGGTATAATAAAGGCAATCTTGTGTGTGAACAAAGAACACCCCACAAACCGCAATAACTTATACAAATCTATTTCAAAGTTATACTTTAAGTTTTCTTCTTCCACACTTTTCTCAAAAGGCAGTTGGTTGTGACACTCAACATGGAGTAGTGAATTTGCAGCAACAGGCAGAAACACGTTTGTTTTTCTCTTTTCAACTCCTGATAAACAGTTTGGCAGTCCTGAGATCTGCCCACTCCTGTTTTAACATCATAGAAGAAAGGTCTTTCCAAAGCACTGGAATACCAAAGATCATATATTAAAGAGTCACATTAACATTAACCCCTGGGGACAGAAGTGGAATTACAGGCAACCCCGTATTTATGCGCATTCAAGATGTGCGCAACCATGCACATGCGCATCATGCTGAACCTGGAAGTGACCCGAAAACATCACAAAAAGTCACATAAAGGGGTAGGGTGTTTGCAGGCTTCTTCAATGGCATTTCAAATATACACAATTTCACTGATGCATGCAATGCCTCAGAACATAACCCCTGCGTAAATGCGGGTGTGTGTGTGTGTGTGTGTGCCTGTATTCAAAAACCCAACCCCCAAATTTTGATTATTATTGGTAGTCTGCCACTAGAAGGGAAGAGAATCAATATATTTATTATAGCATGAAAACTTAGAAAACAATGAATTGTTTGGTAGAACAAATACACAAGGCTATGTGACTGTAAGAATATACACCAAATGCAAACGGAGGATCCTAATTGAACAAAATCAAAAGCTAATTTGTTTGCTTATGCTGCAATCAGAAGGCCCCAGTAAACCAGTAGGCCTGTTTTCTGGGTTATTAAGATATTGTTTTTTATATATATTTTCAGCAAATTAAAAATGTAACACAGAAGCTTCCCTGTTTCCCTCTCCTTTTCCTTCTGGAACAGATGATGATAATCTTGTTTGTGAACTCAGATGCCAATCACTGGAATAGTCATTAGAAACTCTTATAAAAGGGTAACATAAAGCAATTGTCCATACATTCTTTCCAATTCTTTTCTATGAACAGTGTCAGAAACTAAAGTATATAAGCTAAGCATAAAAAATGAATGTTTAGTTGCCATTTTGGGGTAAGATGGCTCTAATGTCCCCCCGCCCCATGATGGACTGACTGAGATTGATTATCTGGCTAGTTCAGATTACTACCTTGAGCTAGGTTAAGAACTTTTGAGAACTTAAATAAGAAAAGTTTCTTGATCCAGGGACCTTCCAGATATATATTGGCCTATTCCAACCTCTTCTTAATGGTGACACAGACCATTCGTAACGTAGGGATATTGCTCACAACGGTGAGCAGGGCAGGGGGTGTAGACAAGCTACGACAAACTATAACATTATTCACTGCTCCTGCTCAGGCGGCACAGTAAAAGCATTTTGGTTCCAGAAATTCGTTCCAATTGTGCAGATAAAATATAACCGATAGAATTCTACAGGATGTGTTGTTATAGTATGTGAAAACAGGCAAGATCCAAGGAACCCCAGGCATGCACCTCCAGATGGTGATTCTTCACTTGGTCGCAAGTACTTGATAGCCAGGTGCAAAATGTGCCTGGCTAATTTCAAACACTGGCTATGAGTAGCCGTGCAGCCCCCAACAGAAACTTGCATTGCAGTAGGACCAATTTCTGACCGATGTTTGAAGCAACAGAGGCTGTCAGGAGCTCACCCTACACTTGAGTAGGACTCTGGTAGAGACACATGCCCGACTGGCATGTTCCCTCCCTCCTGGTCGATCGTTCGGGAGCTTCATAAGCTTTTTTCAGCCCGAACATCACAGCCACCGATGCCAACCGACACTAGCACACTTAGGGATCCGCAGTTTGCGCACCTTGCGTGACAGACTTCAGCAACTCAGCATTTTGGCTAATCTACTTTCACAAGGAGCACTGCAACATGGCTCCCTCTCTCTCTAGCATCAGACAGCAAAGAGAAAAGGAACAAAGGACAATAGTCCCACTTCAAAGAACACAGTAACACAAACATCCTGTTTCCGTCACTTCCCACTCTGTGGAGTCAAAACATATACTGTCATGTTAAAGACAACAACACCATGACTGCAATCATAGAGCAGGAATTCTTACAGAAACCCCTAGTCAGTCAGTCATTTATTTCCCACCCTTCACTCTAAGGTCTCAGGGCAGGTTACAGCATTAAAACACAATATGAAAAACAATTTAAAACAACTTAGAACCATAAAAATAAACTGGGTCCTACAAACATACGCTTTGAGACACTCTTTGTAGTTTTATAATCTGAAGTACTTGAAGTGGAATAAAAAAAGACAGTAGAGTTAAGGTTTCATCCCACTTCAAGCACTGCTGAATTCTGACTCCAGGTGTGCTTAATAAACACACTAATTTAATTGCAAACAGTCTGTCCTAACTGAATTATGGATGTGTCGTCCTAATCCTGCCCATTTTAAATTTAAGGACATGTTACACTAAAGATGACAGGAATTTCTGAAACATTTTAAAAAGTTATATGCAAACACAAAGCACACTGTTGCAGGGGGGAAAACCCATTGTATTAGTGCATGGGTCTAAGGCCCGGATCCGGCCCAATCGCCTTCTAAATCCAGCTAGCGGACCATCCGGGAATCAGTGTGTTTTTACATGAGTAGAATGTATCCTTTTATTTAAAATGCATCTCTGGGTTATTTGTGGGGCATAGGAATTCGTTCCCCCCAAAATATAGTCCGGCCCCCCACAAGGTCTGAGGGAGGCCCCCTGCTGAAAAAGTTGGCTGACCCCTGTATTAGTGGATCAGAGGCAATGTAATAAACATTTTTAATTTAGATCATCCCTAGTTTACTTGGTACATACTGTATGTGATGCTTATCACATTTCTCTCGGGCAGTCTGTTCAGGTTCATCACTGGACTCGCCCATAACCAGCCCCAAACCTGGATACTGAACACGGACTAATCTGTTCAGGCGCCAGAAACCCTTGGCCAGGCCCTCAAACAGCCACTGCGCTTTAAGGGGAAGAGATTTCGAAACCAGAGACTCCATTCTGAGGCTCTGGGTAGGAGAAGGCATTCCGGATTTAGGGAAGCTTCGTTTAAAAAATAGGAATATAAAAAAGGGACCCTCCTCGGGCCACAGCGCCGGCTGCGCCGTCCCCCGAGCTCCGCCTCTCCCCCTTCCCTCCGACGGGGAAGCGCCGGGATCCCTCCCCGGAGCTGCGAGAGCAACCCCCGCTCACCCCATCGCCCTGCTCGGCGGCGCGGTACAGCCCGGACACCATCTCGTTGTGCAGCAGCAGGAAGAGCGCCTCGTCCGCCATCTCCGACTTGTTCATGCCGGGAAGATCCCGGGCAGAAGGGAACGAGGACCAGGCCCACCCGCTCCTCGCCGGGGCCGAGCCGAGTCCCTCCTTCAATCCAGAGGCGGAGCTGCCCAGGCAACAACCGGCAGCTGCTTCTGGGGCGGAGCTCCGGGGAGTCCCCGCCTCGGCGCTCGGTGGTTTGCGGGCGCCGAGGGGAGCGATCTCGGGCATTGGGCTGCCTTTCTCCCTTGTCCGTTTGGAAGCGAAGGTCCGGCGGGCTCACGGCTACGTTGAAGATGTCATGGAGTTCTACTCAGTATTGATCCAGATTCCAACGTACAGTTAGCCGTGTAAAAACTTACAACACGTTGCAGGATTCCCAAAAATTAGACCAGAGGCAATTGTATTTCATTCAGCAGAGCTTTACTGCTATTGAAGGCAAATGAGCATAATGGTCGCAAATCCCATATGTTCAGGATGGGCACTGGCAATAAGAAAACCAGTTGCAGCAGACATAACTTGAAAATTCCAATAACTTAAAATAGGTCTAAAAACACTAAGCAGAACACCACCCCGGAAGGAAAAGAGAAAGGGAAACTCTTCTTCTGGCCTCTTAACAGAACACCCCTAGGATTACTGTGACTTTAGGGATGCCTAAATCAGTGGGTGTAGAGAGCATAGTGGGTCAAAGTGGGACTGCTGGGAATTAATCCCAGACAGCCTCTGCTGTACATTATCTTAGCACAAATTCAGCCTTTTCACCTTCAACCTACTTCAGCGGGTTGTTGTAAGAATTATAAATAAGTTGCTATTGGCTTGCAATAGGGTGTTCCAAGGGTCTTGGATAAATGTGAAGTAAATAAATTGTATATATATCCTGTTTGTTTGATTTATATCTTGCCTTTTCCTCAAAGCAGCTCAGCCCATAAGATTGATCTACTTTTCATTTCTCAATCTCACCATTACTCTAGGAGGTTGCTTGCACTGAAAACAATATCAATAGAAAATAATGGCAACATAGAATTGCTTGCAAGATCAAATTCTAAGCGTAATTGTAAATAGTAGCTTCTTTTATCATTCTGTTCCCAGGTTGTTGTTGCTGTTGTTTTTATAAAAAAGACTTTTTTCCAAAACTGTAATTGCTTTTCTTATGATAGTTTAATTTGCTTTATTTTAAAATGATGCAATGCTGTAAGTGGTTGGGAAAGTGGAGTAAAAAAATGTTGAGGCTATTGTCCATGCGTGATGCCACGGTTGGTGGAAATCTGCACAATACATCCCAGCCATGCGCCCCAGGGAGGTCACTTAGCAGTTTGACTTCACCCCAGATGCACACTTCATTGTCTCTCAAGCCAGAAAGATGTCAGCAACAATATGTTATGGAGTTTGTGGAAATAGATGTTATTGTTCCTGAATTATTGGTCCCCCCCTCCATAATGTGTGTGTCTTGCTTTATTGCTGTAACATAAGGATGTTAGGCTTTCCACAGTGGTGCAGCCTTGATCTGGCCCAATCACCTTCTAAATCCAGCCTGCGGATGGTCTGGGAATCAGCATGTTTTTACATGAGTAGAATGTGTCCTTTTATTTAAAATGCATATCTGGGTTATTTGTGGGGCCTGCCTGGTGTTTTCACATGAGTAGAATGTGTGGTTTTATTTAAAATGCATCTCTGGGTTATTTGTGGGGCATAGGAATTTGTTCCCCTCAAAATATAGTCTGGCTCCCCACAAGGTCTGAAGGACAGTGGACCGGCCCCCTGCTGAAAAAGTTTGCTGACCCCTGGTCATAACTATAAAAACAAAGATGAAGAACACTATTCTGTGATATGATCTGGAATTGTTGTGATATGATACTCTATGATTCTGTGATGTTCAGAATTTTAGACATATTTTCACAGTAAGAGACTTCCCTTTAAAAGGGCTTATCCATACTGTTGTTTAACTTGGATAGTAAGCATCCTGTACCTCCCTTAATTCTGTTGTGCACATGGCATTATCCTCCAAATCACTGCCTTCCCATACTTTCCCCTCAGTCCCAGGGATACTCCAAAAAGGAAATGGTATGAGAAAATCTGAACTGAGGGAGTGGAAAGTGTAAAAAGGTAAAGGTACCCCTGCCCATACGGGCCAGTCTTGACAGACTCTAGGGTTGTGCGCCCATCTCACTTAAGAGGCCGGGGGCCAGCGCTGTCCGGAGACACTTCCGGGTCACGTGGCCAGCGTGACAAGCTGCATCTGGCGAGCCAGCGCAGCACACGGAAACGCCGTTTACCTTCCCGCTAGTAAGCGGTCCCTATTTATCTACTTGCACCCGGGAGTGCTTTCGAACTGCTAGGTTGGCAGGTGCTGGGACCGAACAACGGGAGCGCACCCCGCCGCGGGGATTCGAACCACCGACCTTTCGATCGGCAAGCCCTAGGCGCTGAGGCTTTTACCCACAGCGCCACCCGCGTCCCAGTGGAAAGTGTAGGAAGGCACAAATTTAGATACTGTACTGTCATATGCACAATGGCAAATTAAGGAAGGTACAGGAATCTTCTATTCATATTAAACAACAGTATGGATGAGCACTGAATCACAAGACATAAGAGCTTAGATAGCTAATTATATGCAGGTACAGTTGCTTGGAAGATTACCCATGGGCCAATGAATAACGTAATTTTTGGTTAGAGAGCTGCATAGGAATAATGGGCTGTGCAGTTTCTTCATTTACTCAGATCTTGTCTGGTCATGAGGAACTCTTAAGTGGTCCCTGGAGACTTGGGCATCTTAGTGGACTCTAGGAGTTTTGATAGTTTTGCCAGTAGCCTTGTTGATCACGAGATCAGCCAATTCAGGGCCCTTGGCAGTTTCACTCCCTAGAATCCTTCTGCCCTTATTGACCTGGGCCTTTCTGTCATTTAATGGAAAGCTTTGTGTGATGAAAAAGAAGGGAAGGCAGAAATTCAGAATTAATTTGACCAAACACGTTAGAGACCCATTGAAGGTCTAACTTTTGGCTGTGATAGCAGCAAACATTAATGCTGCTGCTTCCTCGCCTTGGTGACCTTTTAGCCCTCTGTGGCCCAAGAAATAAATAAGATGGCTTGCCTTAAAGTGCAGGGAAGGCAATTACAGCAATGATAGTGGGAGTGTTTGCTAATAGTTACAGCCCATCTCACATATTTTGGTTATGCTGTTACTTCAACTTGTCACTTGCGCATCTGAGTCTGTGGTTTTTTTACTCAAAAGTTAGCTCCATTAACTTAATAGGGCTTCCTTCCAAGTACATAATAGTGAACAGGACTTATAAGCAAATTTCAGAATCAGAGAAGCCACGCGTCCGTGGAAATTGAGTTTAGTCCCACCCCCTGCACTTCAAGACACCTCATGACCCGAGGAGCGCGCGAAAATTAGTAGGGCTGGTCATACGGCGGATAGGGAAGCATAAGCCGACCCACCTCCCATCACTGATTGGTTACTCGATGCCACCCTGCTCTGGCATTCCGTGATTGGCAGGAGAAACAGAGCAACGCGAACGTCGAGAGGTTCTCCCAACGTCGCTCCTGCACTACGGATTCCCGATTGGCTAAGAAGGAAGCTGATGACTGGAGCACCCAAATGCCACTCAACCTGTCAGGGCGGCGATTCGCTAGGGACGAGGCGCGGCTGTTGGCGAGGAAGGTTGTCGATCCAACCCTCGCGCGCCGATTGGCGGGTTTGCTTGGAGAGCCGCGCTACGTGGGGGCCTGGGCCGCGGCGCCCCGCCCCTTTCCCGCCGAGCCGTGCTCTCGGCCGGCCCCTGACTGGCTAGGCCGCGCCTGTGGGTGGCTGGGATGGCGGTGGCGGTGCGGGCTCTGCAGGAGCAGCTCGAGAAGGCCAAGGAGAGCCTCAAGCACGTCGACGAGAACATCCGCAAGCTCACGGGGCGGGACCCCAACGATGTGCGGTGAGGCGGGAGCAAGAGCGGGCCGGCCGGCGGGGGGGGTTGTTTCGGCTCAGAGGGGGCCGCTGCGCTCGCCCCCTGAGAGGCTTCTCTGCGGTTGCCCCCTTAGTGCCCGCGCCCTTTCCCTTCCCTCTCCGGGAACGCGCCCTGGGGCTTCAGGGGCCCGAGCGGTGCATCCGTTAGCCCCGTCCCCGTGCGAGAGCGCAGAGGGAGGCCTACGAGCAGAATCCGTTAGTGGCGTCCACGTGAGTTGCCAGGCGCGGCTGCGCCCTGCGAACGCGGCTTCCCCGCTTGGCTTCAATGGGGCTCGCTAGTTCCCAGTAAGGGCGCTTAGGGACGCAGCCTGCACCGGCCTAAGTTAACCCGGGTTAAGGGTGCGCTCATGTCCCAGCCTAAATCTGTAAAAGTTTCCGTGGCACAAAAGGTAGGCAAAACCCACTGCCGTCCCTCTGCATTTTCTGCTACTTCCTTCCACGTGGGAAGTCAAGGTATTTTAATAAAATAGGCCATCAGGATCCTGCACACGGTAGAAGCAGTCTCTTCCCGTCCCCAATCACTAAAGCTGACTAATAAAGTGGGTGTGGGGGATACATTTGCAGCAGGTCTCCAGTGGTGTTCCTTTGAGGGATGTTTTCTGTACCTTTTTGCTCCTTCCTGATGATTATTCCCTTCGCTTTCCCCCCCAGGCCCGCTCAAGGGAGATTATTGACCATCACAGGCCCTGGTGGAGGTAGGGGGCGTGGAAGTATATTACTTAGGTGAGTATCTGTGGATGATTAATGGAAACCAATTCTGTACCTTTCTGGGGGCAGCTTCTATGCTGCACAGAATGTTACGTTTGTATTTGAAGGCTAGAAATGAAAAGAAGGTTAAATGTTGTTTTAATATGTTGATTTAAGGTAGCTAGAGTCTGAACTCAACTGCCATAATTGTGCAGTGAGGGGGAAGAGAGGGGTTCTGCTCATGGTCCAAAGCATATTCACAGGCAAACAAGCAAATAACTGTTGGGGTACTTGACCATTGCTTGTGCTGTCACTGCTGCCCTAAGGTTGCATGCAACTTCTCTTCTAACCTTAAAAAAAAACTCAGTAATTTCAAGTTGGACTTGTACAGTTGCTGTAATGCTAGTTTATGGTAGCGCTGAGGAGCCCACAAGATTGCTGTCTTCAAAGATTTCAGTAGAAGGCATGTATAACTTGCCACTTGGCTCATATACCATTGTTATTACCGAAGGGTGGGCAGCCAACCATGCTATTCCAAGGGTTACAGATCCCCTGCTGTTGTAGTCTAACACTGGCATGGTATGGTACAGTGGTACCTCGGGTTAAGAATGTAATTCATTTTGGAGGTCCATTCTTAACCTGAAACTGTTCTTAACCTGAGGTACCACTTTAGCTAATGCGGCCTCCTGCTGCCAT